TCCCTCTCCACAGAGCTGCTCTCCAGCAGGTCCACCCCAAGCCTGTACTGGTGCCTGGGGTTGTTCCTCCCCAGGCGTAGGACCCTGCACTTGCTCTTGTTGAACCTCATCAAGTTCCTCCCTGCCCAACTTTCCAGTTGGCAGAGCTTTTCCAAAGCGGGCTGTGTGGTACAGAAAACCCCTGGGGAAGCACACGAGGAGGGTGCCATGTCCCGCGCCGCTGCCGCGCTGCCCGTCTGTGCGTGCACGTCCGTGAGTCGCGTCCCGGCTCGGAGTACCGGGAGAGCCTTGGCAGGGGGAGGACTGCGCTCCGGGACCCTCTTCTGGCGCAGGGCTGTGACCCCACGTGAAAACGACCACGAGTGTGGGGAGAGGTCTGCACGCCCTTCCCAGGGGTGGGTTGTGCCTGGGCAGATTCGCTGCTCTCAGCCCCGGAGGCAGCTGCGCGTCGGGGATGCTGGGCGTGGGGGGGCTGGCGGTCGCCCCATGGGCTGTGGGACAGAATCACAGAATGGTAGGGGTTGGAAGGGACCTCTGTGGGTCACCCAGTCCAACCCTCCTGCCCAAGCAGGGTCACCTACAGCAGGCTGTAGAGGACCTTGTCCAGGCGGAGCTTGGATACCAGCGATGCGAGGGGGTAGGTACCAGCGCCTGCTGGGGCACTCGGCTGCTTCATCATTTGGAGGAGTCTAGGGGTGTGGAGGGGTTTGTGGACTCAGCCCTTGGGCTGTTTCTGTACTGCAAGAAGCAAAAGGGAGCGAGTGAAGGCCCTGCCAGGTATCCCTGGCAGTGACCGGGGAAAATGGCACGCAGGAGGTGTGCGTGAGGCTGCCTTCTCCCCTCCTGCAAAGCTGCTGGGCTGTGCTCGTCAAATTAATGGGAGCCCTCCCATTCGTGAAGGAGAGCTCCCTTTTTGGGGGCCCTCACCCACCCTCTGCTCCCTAGGTTTTCCCTGGCCAAATGAGGGGGGAAAAAATCTCTGCTTACAAACCAACCAGCAAGAGGAGGTGTGAGCAGGGCCTGCCCTTAGCCGCTGCGATCACCTTGAGCTGCCATCAGAGCTGGCCTGGATGCATCTTCCTGCTGCTGCTGCCCCAGTCTGGTCCCCAGTACTGGGACCTTTGCCTAAAGCAGCTGGAGAGCAGTGCTGGGCAGCAGGAGCGTGGCTGGACGGGCTGCCCATCCACACCACCTGTTCCTGCTCCTGAGGGAGCTGGGCTTGTTCAGCCTGGAGAAGAGAAGGCTGCGAGGGGACCTAATAAATGCTTACAAATATCTGCAGGGTGGGTGTCAGGAGGATGGGGCCAAGCTCTTTCCAGTGGTGCCCAGCGACAGGACAAGGGGCAACGGGCACAAACTGAAGCAGAGGAAGCTCCAGCTGAA